ATTTGGAACACATCGCAATTGATCAGGAAATATTTGTTTGCTCCAATTTTCTGGGTCGATGCCGTGGGCCGGTGACCGTTATACAATTTAAAATCAGTTTGCATTGTTTACTATAGCTGTTTACAGTACTAGTGTTCTAATCATTACAATTTACTTTTTTTTTTGCTTCCATTCTAGATAATTATGCTCAGTGATGTAAAATTGAAGCGATGACAGAATGAACGAACCTTGGCTGGCGAAGATGTATCTGGAAATGTACACATTTGTTGGAAGTGAAAAAAATATTCAATGTAATGAGAAAAATTGTAAAATGCTGTGGAATTTCGTTTGCAAATAAAAATATACTAGCAATTTTCTATTAATGGTTTATTCAAGTGGGCAAAATATAATGTACAGAAAGATTGCCCGTATACACTGAAAAGTAAGCACCGACAGGCTGTATAAAAGGGGGGCTGTGATTGGCTGTTACTTGCGCGAGATTTGAACGGGACTTACATAGGCGTCGGATCAGATGTAGGTAGGGCGGAATTAAAAAAAAAATCTCAAAATCAAAGTAAAATAATAAAATAAAAGGGCATTAATAACAAATATAATAAAAAATAAAATTAAAATAAATTTATAGTCAAAATAATTAAAGCCCGTACATGACATCAGATTTTAATCAGATTGTATAAATATATATATGGACGAAACACAAAAAGTATCAAATAGTGTATGAAAAAGGAGCATTGGCTTTAACTGAATGAGGTTGCTTTTTATTGAATGATCTTACTAACAATACATGATCCAGCGGATATTTCCAGGTTCCGAAAAACACCGTGACACTGTTTTTAGATGGACGCTACCCTGTGACTACTAAATCTTTATGTACGTGGAGTTTTTTGGTAAAAGAAATTGAACCGGAAGAATTTGTACTAGTTCTAAGATGGCCCAGTGACATGCTCTTCTTTTTTATTTTTACAATATTTTGGTTGAACCAAAACACAATATGACGCATACATTTGAGCCAAATGGCCAAATGTCATGCGGTCTTACCAGAAAAAAATCTGTAATTAATACCAGATTCTGCACGAGTTTAAAGATATATTGTCTGGAACTATTGTTGGAAGATATACCAAGAAAGTTAAACATCTCTCTAAATTTAATACTAAGTGCACATCGTACGAACAACACACCCATTAGAAGTGTGGCTACCCAATAACTACATCAGACACGCATACACACAGCGATGTACGTGTGCTGCATAGTAAAATGAATAGAATGACTGTATTGTAAAGAAATATACATTTTCTGTTGCTTTGAACAGTATCGTATTTGACTATAATTTATGTGGATGTTCACATGTCGCAGAATGTATGTACCATGAAATATTCATCAGAAATATAAAAGATAAATAGAATTCATATATGCATGTGCAACACGTCAGTTCCACTACATGCTATTCGACCAATTTGATAATTCTAGGTGAGAGCATCCCCATGTACATGTTATATAATCAAACATGATACATGCACGCAATTTCATGTTGTGTATGTACGTCATTTATTTAAAACGTGTTGTCAGGAAAAAACTCTGAAAATTACAGTATTGCATTTCTTTATCCGTTTCTATTGTTTGTTCTCGACGAATGTCAAACACGTATAGTTGGGTTGCCAAGCAACTTATTGTGAAAAGAACAAGTTGCCATGACGACCAAAATGTATACGTTTACGTGTGACGTCGCGGCGCATATGAAATGTGACATTGATTCCATAATATATTCCATCACCGCCCACATCGATAAACATCGCCGCGAACATCAGTTGTTGAAAATCCTATAGAGTAGTCTCCCAGCTTACTTGTTACATCTGTATTTTATAGCACATGGGCAGCCAGTCGGTTCCGGTTCACTGAGCAGCTGAATATATATTGCGAGGATCACAGCAACAAGTTTGTGTTTATAAAAAATTCATCAGCGATGGGGATCACGGATGTACTTTTACTTTCAGGAGTGTTTACTTCAGCGCTTTTTATGGTTTCTGATGGCGGTGAGTTTTCTTGTATTTTATTGTATTGTGCTTGCTCCAGATTATATTCATGAGGAAAGATTCTAAGTACATATCCATTCTATATATTTACGTGAAGGCACAGGTGACCCTTTAAAATTGATTCTGTTACACACGTATATTCATTCGTTATACAACATGTCTATAACTGGAATACTAATTAAATTAAAATGTGAAATTGTCAGAATCTCGTAATGTTCTCGTTTTAACACAGTCAAAATCAATACGAATATGAACTTTGTATTCTGTTTCAGTTTCTTTGACTGCGTCCTTGGCGATTCAAACCCCATCCCCTCCATACCAAGCCGGGGATCAACTGGTGTTCTCATTCCAATGTGAAGTCACTGTAACTGCGGACCAAGCTTATAACGTCAGATTAGAATTTGGATCGGAGAGACTGGAAGTACGTACTGCACTTTGGCATTATTTTGACATATAGATGTACATGTAGTAACCTCGGGTATTACGTTTCCTGACACAAACGAACACACTAGTACACGCGTGATCCTAAAACCATATACTACGACTAATTTTTTATCCATGTATTCAATTTGTGATTTAAATAACTTT